TGGCGCTAAAAAATTAACAAATCTTTAAGGAAAACGAAGATCCACGTCGCATGCATCGATCAATACAGTTTCTTTGTACATTGATCAATAATCAAACGACGGTTAACACTTTGAATGAAGCATCACGTTGGTATCTCATTCAACAGTTGAACATTTTTCAGTGGCGCGTTCCGTCCATCTTGTGTTCTGTTAATGAACATGTGAAGAAACTTTTGGATCATCCGTTCAAAGCTGTACGAGATCGTATGACTATGTAAGAAACATTTCCAACTGTATCTGTTGATTTTTCATAAAAAAGAAACTTATTGTTGTTCAGTGTTTTATCGCTGTCGCTCAGTTTCGACTTGGTATTGTTACATGGGAAATCGACACGTCAACCTAGTATCGATCAAACCATCGACGAACTATGCGAACGATTGCATCGGGCCATTGAACTCTATGATAAAACACCACTAGGTAGAATATTGTTCTCTCTGACTTTGCTAATATCGTTTCTATTTAATATGTCTGATCAAGTCATTGAAATTGATTCTGAAGTTCGTCAAATATTGAATTTCATTGAGACAGGTAGAGATGTTAACTTTGTTGCTAAACAATGTGACTTGCACTCATTTTTTTCTTCTGATGATGCAATCTAGTGATTCAAATATATACCAAAATTTTCATATTTTCTCAACAACCGATAAAAGATGCAATTATTCGTATTTTTCCATCTGTAAGTCCGTTAATCATTTGTCTACTATCAATTTATCATTTTTATTATTTGATAAGCTCTGTAGAATTGAAAGTATTGTGGCTAATGATGATATCGTCAAAACGAATTTGACAATCAGTCGATTGAATGTTGGTATGGCTTATTTGCATGGGCACTATTTGGAAGCACTCATTCAACAATTGGAATACGTATGTATACAAAATATCGATTGTAAGAAAATCATTTGTATCGACATACAGGTGCGTATGAATCTCACATGGCATGCACGAAAAGTGGCCATTGAATTCGTTCAAACAATGATTTTTTGTAATTTATTCAATGCTCGTCCATATGATAAACGGATACGTGATCTTGTATTCAAATCTCTATTTGATGAACATTATGAAGTGCGAATAATCGCATCGACGACTTTATCAGGCCTCTATCAATGTGGTTACATTCAAGTGACTGATGAAGATCTGGTAGGATAATATATTTTCTTCTCCTTTTGAAGACATATTTTGATTTGTTTATTTAACAAGAAATATTTTCGTACGATGAGCAAGACCAATTATATTACGAAAATAAATACCAAGAATGTGACATCGGCAAAAGATATTGTCAAAAGGCATGGCGGTCAGTATATATTGTGTGTTGGTCAACGTAATAATTGTATAGTGAAATAGATAAAGATTCTAATTGTTAATCATTAATCCGAAACTCTTCCGATCGAGGTATAAGTCTTTATTTTGTGTCCAATGTTTCTGTGGGCTATATAGGTTTGCGAATCTGTAAATAGAAGAATTTATTACTGATACTTCCAATGATGACTTGCAGTTTAAAACATTTTCAAGAGGCCTATTGCTTGAAACAGCTATCTGATGAATATAGAGATCATAGGAGAAAAGGCCAATCATGATATTAAGTGTTTCGACTTAGTCTTTTTTTACTATATATATAGTGAAAACTTCCGAGCAAATATGTGACGTACCATTATTTCAGGTGTGCTGGGTCTCTGTGCCATCGTTCTCTCGAGTCCATATGATATTCCAATATATGTACCAGACGTATTAATGATTCTCTGTGAACATTCACATGACCCAGATCTGATACAAGTGAGTATACTTTTCTAGCTGTTGTTATATATTAAAAGACAATGATTTGTTTCTAGAAATCTATTAAAGAATGTCTATCCAATTTTCGTCGTACTCATCACGATTCATGGCATGAACATCGAGAAAAGTTGACTGATGATCAACTTGTCACGTTGAATGATGCACTCTTTTCTCATAACTATTATGCTTGAAAGTCTTATTTTAAATGAATTTTTGGTTTAAACACGAAGAAGCTCATTATATGCTCTTGATCATTTCGGTTATTTTCGCTCCCTCAATGAGTTCTGATATTTAGTATTTTGTGCTTCATATTAAGATCTTGGAAATGCTTTCGTGAATTTTTAACCATGTTGACCTCAGTACACAGAGCACATTGCTAGAATAAGAGTTTTAATTCATTGTTTCTGTGATTCAGAGCAAGAGAATGTGTGTCTATGCGATTGAAGAAGAGAATAAGACACAGATTGACAATTACCACCACATCCACAAAGAGTTAAGATAATCGATCACTCACTGGCTCAGAACATTGAATGTTTCAAAATATTAAAGTGTCTAGATTAATGATATAATAATACTGTTGGAATTTCGGACAGCTCATAACAGGATGAAGATCTTAACTTAGTTAGCAACGTATTCAAACACTAAAAATAACTTCTTTTCTTGATTGATACTGACTAATAAGAGAATAAGACATTTACAGTACAAGTGTTGCTCTTGTTTCTTCATTCCCTTTTCTTGTTCCTAGATGCTTTTTTGTAGTAGAAAAGTAAACATTAGTGGATCATAGGGTCCAACAGAATAACAGGAACCGATGAAAGCTATGAAAAAAGAAACACGAAAATCTGGCTTCACAACTAGATATTGGAAGAACTTCATTGGGTTTGTATGAAACCTATAAATCCTAACTGGAAATAATGTATCCTGTAGATTCTCATGGATCCTATTGGTCTCTAATTCATATATATATATATAGATTGATTGACTTCTTTTTGAGATAGGCGAACGAAAATTATGAGTATCAATTCTGTTAAGGGCTTGTTTCATGCAAACAGACTTAACTCAAACGAAACTAAACCTTATTGAAGTAACAAGAGATTCAGAATTAATGAAGAGCACCAACAATTTTTGTTCAACGGTTTGCTGAAAAAAGATTTATTTTTTAATTGATATAGACACCAAAATAAGTCTGATTTTGTTCATTTCTACGAATATTACATCTCAATAAAATATTTCCTATGAGATCGATATGTTTCGTAAGTTCACTGGTTTTCATTATTTAAAAACTTAATTTGTAATGAAAAGGATGAGCTAATTATTTGTTTGAATACAAATATCAATCTTAAAATATATATGAAACTAATATCATTGAAATGATGCAAATCCTCATCAAAATCTTTATTTTAGTAGCATGAATTTTGATGATAGTTTTTGTATATAAACAGGGAAAATTTTATGAAGTAAATACAAATTCATCGCTCTAGAGAAAAAAGTATGTTAATACTCAAATTGTTGATGAAGTCTTCATTAAAATTAACATTTTAACATAATAATAAGTGTGAATTTTTTTTCCTTCGAAATGTTTTAATTTTGTAGAAATGATATTAAAGTTAATCACTTTTTCAAAGGAATATTATCTGTAAGTTATGATTGAATTTTTAGACAAAAAAACAAACTATTACTCTTTTCTTTCGAATGGATTCCTTCGATTTTATGACATTTTAAGTAATTGATGGTTTGATTGAATTTTTAAATTATTTTAAACTTGTTCTGTGTCCGAAAAATCCGCTTAGAAAACAAGAGTGAATATCTCATAATCATGAATTCGATTGTTTTACAACTTTTGTTTTGTGGAATATGATATATATAAGCTGCTTTACATCATATTCTTTTTATCTTGTTTTAAAAAAACTGAATAAAGAACTTATTGTGCAATATTCGATTTTTCAAGCTGATTCATTTCTTGATTTACCATAACTATTGTTGCTGTAATTAATTAATTAATTGATTTTTTTCATTTAGTGTAAGGTATTTTTACGAAATCATTTCTGTGTCTTATTTATAATAAACGATGAATAGCAGTGAGAATATATTGTCAGATCTGATAAATAGGAGAAAGAAAAAAGCCCATGTTAGTTTAAAACGGATTCAATTAGACATCTTGTTCAAAGTCACTAATAAAAGTTATAGTTATCATATGTTCTTTTAAGTTCTATTTCATATAATTTGATTTCAAAAAAAAAAATTCAAAAGGATTACCATCAACTGAAATAAAAAAAAACTATTCTTCTTGAAGTATTTGAAGAAAATATTACAGAAAATTTATTTTCAAATGAATTTACTTTCGTTATCGATAAATCGTATAAATCAAAGGTAACTTCCACCTAAAGAAAACTAATATACTTGATTGTTGATGTTCTGTAACTCTTATGAAACTTCTGTGTGAATATTTTGAATAAATTATACATGCTAAAGCTTCATTGAAATATACTCACGTGAGGGCCAATTTCTGCACCGACACTCTCTGCAATAAGCATATTGATGTTGAATATTACTATATCTTGACAGTTAGTATCATATCTTATCGAATTGGAATAGAATTCTTTACAATAGATTTCGACAAATTCATAACAAGTACCCGGATATTCGTAAGTATTTGTCTTTCTTACCTTCTGTCCAAACTAGCGAAATATTCGCTCACTCCTAGTGGCAAAAATTATAACAATTTTTCATGATTTTCTATGAGTGGGTTGAGGCGAATTCAGAACAGGTACGAAGAATTAAACAACGAGAAAAGTGAACAATATTTCATACCATCTTATCGACCAATTTGATAATGAAAAACCCTATTGGTTGTTTCTTTTCTATTTACATTCATTCACTCACCCGAAAAAAATCAAGATCTTACTTGTGAATGACTAGGAAAGAAACCAGAAAATTAGTGGAAACTTCTATCAATTTACCTGTTCGTTATTCAAATACATAATTATTTTATTTTTATTAGAAAAATGAACTGTACATGAATATAGACCAAATGAGATTTTATTCAAAAATAGAATTCTAATATAAAACAAGTCATTGATCTTGTTGCATCGTCATAGTTTGCATACGATGTCGATCCGGTTGTGAACAAGTTGCTCGTTATTTTTGTATTTCAAAATTTAAAATGGCACTTAACAACATATGCTAATGCTTCAATTCAATGTTGCATTGATTTTCATCGCTGTAATTTTATACAGTATATTTGCTATAGATTTATCATCAACATTTAATGAATTCTGTTTACCATATTGGCTAACATCAACTATTGATAATATTGAACGTTTCATTTCATGTTCATGTTGTGGTTCAATATCATAACATTTTTCACATAAATCAAAATCTTTACATTCTCTACAATGATAACGTATATCACATTGTTGTCGACATGCATTACACTTATATATTAATTTATCTGTTGTTGACGTATGTAATTCATGTAATAAAGACATGGTTGAAAATTTTGCACGACGTAGTGAAGAAAATTCATAATTTTTATCACAAGCAAAACTTAAAAATGCGTATCGTGTATCCATTAGATCACATTGAATTACAGCATTAATCTCGTTGCCTGTTGAATAGGATGTTATTTGATTGTGAAGACGAATAACAAAGAATGTCTAAAAAAGATAGAGATGCAATTTGTAAATACATTAATGTTTGGAAAAGAGAACACGATCAAGATCAGTTTAATAAGTCTTATGGAATTATAGTTAGCATAGATTGAAAGCTGATTTTCAGAACTACAGTTAGTATTTTTAGATATCTGACCACTTTTAAGTTGAGACTATGTGCATAATGTCGATCACAGTGAGCAATGTATATGTTCAAAAGAAAAGTTCGTCATCGTAGCTTTATGCCGCAGAAATAGAGGGATTTTATGGTATATTTTAGCAAAATCCAGATCGGCAAAAACTTGAATTTCCAATTTCGGCTTGAAAGAATCTTTCCTCATGAGTTCGAATTCGACAAGTTCTTTGAAAAATTGTCGACTTCTCAGGCTGAGTCACTTTGGAACACCTCTGAATATATGAATATTCATATTCGCTTTTTAATAGAATTTCTACAACTTTAGTGCTCTTTTTCTTCAGAAGAAAATTTTGCTGTAGGAGATGAACTAAATGTTTTTTTTTTGAATAATTTACATCTTTGTATTTTTCCATAGCTGAAAATATTGTAGAAAGTAAATAAGTAGAATTTGACATTGGATCGGTCGTTTTCTTCAATTTTTTGTGTTCATATGTATTTACAGATTTACGTTTACCAGAAATCTAAATAAAAATCAAATATTAATATGGTAGATAAGATCAAGATTTGAATAGCAACTATTAAAATTAGACTAGAGACAGATTTATCCGATAGAATAAAACATTCATATCCGAGACTAGTTTTTGAAATCGACTTCCATTCTATTCGACTCATATGATTATATGAATTTTAATTTTGTATAAAATTTCTACTGACTTCGGTTGAATCTTCTGATTCAAATGGATCATCTAAGTTTGCATATTCTTCTTGTTCAAGTTCTAAAATATAAACAAATAAAATTCGATTTCTATTATCAATAATAAAACATACTTTCAATATTGTTTTCAATAATAAACGGCCAAAAGTCACCATCGAAATATGGAATGTCAAGAACTGTTTGCACATGATTATCTAAACAATCCTGCATAATATCCTAAATAAATAACATTAAAATAAAATGCCGTCAAAATTGATATTTTATTTAAAAATATCAACTACTACTTGTTTGAGTAGAATTTGTTTAATTAAATTCAATCAATATTTAATTAACAAAGATTTCATATATATTTTTACCTTATAATCAATAACAATACGTTCTGCAATTGCTTTATCAAGCATCTTTTTACACCAATCTTGAAGACGCGTTGGCTTTAGCATACGTTGTTCATATGGATGACGATGAAATAGATAATCAATACCTTCATTTGCTGGATAAGCCTATACATGAGCATACATATACCCATGCTGTTTCACATAATCCAAATAACCAATTAAAATCTCATGATAAACATTTGTACGATAAATTTTCGGTTGAAAAAAATGTACTGTATCAAAATATAATATATAAAGACGACGTGTATTTGGTGCAGGGCAATGTTCATCATATTCTTGTACATACATACCACAGAAAATAACATCAACATCTTCAATTTTTTGAAAAGCAAATATAGCTTTTGTTCGATATGGATAACCATTTGCCGCTTGACATGGATAATATTTTTTTAATTGTGGTTTTACTAAACATATTTTATCATATGAAGATAATATTCGAATTGTTACATGACCTGTTTGACAACCTTGATTGTGTAAAAAATCATTAACACGTTTTTCTAATTGTGATGATAAATCATTTACTGATAATTTTGATGCTATATAATGATTTTCTTTACGTTTTATATTATACTGATGTATACATGTAGTACATATAAAACCTTCAGACCATATTTGATCTAAATGTAATGCACATACTTGATGCCAATGACGTGTACAAATAATACAATCAATCCCTGCTTCAGGTTCTTTTATGTCATTTTTAGCTAATGCAAATAATGATTTTGGTATTTCAAGTAATGTTTGAGTTAGATCATCACCGATAAATATCGAATTACTTTTAACTGAATCAAAACATTTCGTACAAAATGTATAATTATCATTGGATTGAGGGTGGGCGTGGGTGTGGGTGTGGGTGTGGGTAGCCGTGGGTGTGGGTATGGATTCTGGTGTTGGTATGTTCTGGCATTGAAATACAACCACATCCCACACACACCCACTCATACACACCCACCCGCACCCACAGCCACACCCGACATCCACACCCATACCCATACCCACACTCTCTTTGATCTGCCACAAACAGACTGACAGACAGACAGACAAACTCATTTTTATTTTCGTATGACTCTCCCTTCAGTCGAGGGAATGGCAAAGTTTCATCAAACCGTCGAAAAGTGGTAAAATAAAAAAGTTCGTTTCTGATTGGTCCAATTTTCGGCCAATGAAAGCCCGGATCGAAAAGCCAACTTCAGATCTGGATTTCTGGCCCTCGATAATCCATTGCAAAGTTTCATCAAACGACCGAAAAGCCTAAAAATAACTTAACCTCTCATATGTTTTTTTTACCCCAAGCAAGCAAGCAAACAAGCGCATTTTATTTTCTACTGCCCTCCCTTCAGTCGAGGGGAAAATACTGATTCTCCTTTCTTTTCTCTCTCTCTCTCTCTCTCTCTCTCTCTGGTGAAAGCTATGCATATATCGAGTCATCAACAAGGAGGAATTTTTCAAGTAGAGAGCTTCCAAGAATGATGATGATCACGAGGAAAAAATCTCATAGGGGATGAACAACCAGGATAGAATACATCACCAAGAGAACGTACACTAAGGAATGAAGAAATACAGAGTGTGTTATCCATACACAACATAAAAAAAGAAAATTGTCGCACAGAGAAATTATGTCACCACACTGCTACGTCACATAACAACTAGAATCATCGAAACTGACGTTAATCATTTTTAGAAAGTTCTCAATCGAAACCGAATGGTGCCCTATTTTATTTAGTCACTCAATGCATATTCCAAAAATGCATTGTTTAGTAGAAAAGTATTTATGCGTCCCGAAGAGAATAGCTTCTTACAAGGGTGAGCAATATTCATGGTGAACATCTGGTGTGGCAACTAGCACTCATTGCAAGAAGCTTTTTCATCGCTCTTGGCATCGACAGATTCAGCGAATGGCAACTCCATCTGATTTTGTACGATTTCGTGTAAGAAAAAAACGCCCTCCAAGTGAAACATGCTTGAAAAAGATTAATAAGACAGCAGCCAAATTTCACATTCATGATAATCTGGTGAACTTGTCTTCAAAAGAGTTGTTGTAAGCTGTGTTACACATAACACAACTATACTGTTGACACTCGTTGCTACATTCATTATCGAAGTAAAAAGTAATATCATTGACTCTGTTGTCGTCAGAATTAAATTTAGTTTGTGCGTCACGAGCTCATTTTCCAATTTAGAAAATACTTCTCTGAGTAGGAAGATGCCAAAAAACAATTCTTTTTACTTACCTTATGGCAGATGGATTCCATCCACTGCCACAATTTTCCGCGTTATTCACTAAGTGAATTGAAAACCGAGCAATGATAGCAGCGTTACGAGCTCGTATTAAGCGTTGGTTCTTTTGTATGAATATTTTCAACAGTGGATCTACCACCGAAGAATCTATTCAAATCGAGAGATGGTTATCCTGGACTTTCATCGTTCTATTCATCACGAATATATTCTTTCTACTTATTTACGCCAGTCTAGGTGGTCAGACGACGATGGTTACTATAAAAATTCCTTCTTATTCTATGTTCGAGTCCCTACTGTTGCAGTATCCGAAAACACTCCAATGTCCGTGTTCCACTGTCTCTATTCCAATGTTAACATTCGTCCAAGCAAGACCGAGCTATCACCAGGTATCGATTATTTTTTAATCATCGGAGCATGAGTGGAACTTATCACAATCTAAGCTTATATTAAGCACAAAGTACGAAGTGGTTACGAGAGCTTTATCTAGCTATGCATGTGAGACTGAAACCAAATCGAAACAAGACTCGGAAGAAGCGTGTAGAATTGATTCATGCTAAATATAAATCTCACGATTTGATTCACTAGTGTTCTCACTATTCATATGTAAAGCTAAGGAATGATGTTGTGTGAGCCATGAGCAATTACATATACATGCAGAGTACGGATAATTTTGCGTTCTCATTCTGTTCGGCTATTCAGGTGATCTAGTTCTTTGACCAAGTAATCCCTGTTGGATTCTCTAAGAACAAGTTACCGAGTGCTACATTTGGATATGTAACAACACACCACAAACGAAAAACATGAATCGATGTCGGAGCTTTTTTGAAAGTGTGTTATCACCTAATAGTCGGTATTTTTTAGAGATAACCTAAAGCAACAATCGAGCAGGC